GGGGCTGCTTTTCTTCAGTTGGAACTGGGGGCCTTACATAAGGTTGGGGAATGAATAGTTCCATATGGCACCCAGTGTTATAAAACCTCCAGGCATCTGCTAGAAAGCAAAAAAGTCAAGAAAAGCCCACCAGAGCATTAGAAACTTATTTGAGGTTAATCAGTGGCACTTTGTCTGGTGGCAGGTGTGTGCTGATTGCTATTTAACAAGAGTTTGAATGTGATAGACTAATTCTGAACACAGACAGATCCCTATATAAGAGTGTGGGCACACATTCTGGTATCACAAAACATTGTATTTGTATGGAGGTGTGCAGACTTTTTATATCTACTGCACTTGCAATGAAGGTTGTACCTGTACAGGTTGTACCTGTAGCTGCTGTCCATCCTGCCCTGTTAGTCCCTGTGCGTGTAGCACTTGCTGCTGCGGGTCCCAGATGAGTGACTGCGTAGTATTGGAGTAGCCCTGCACTGCGACTGGGATGTGGATATTTCCATTCATCAGCTGAGCAGGGAAGAGTGTGTTTGCAGCCAACGTGTGCACCACTTCTTCTTGTCCCCCCATTCCTGCGGTGCTTGTTATGCTGGAAACTGCCTGAGCTGTCTGACTTTGACTGGAAGAGTTTTTCAACTTGTCGTTTTCCACAGCAACTTGTGTGGGCATAGCGGTCATGGTTGTAGCATTGCTCCCGGCGACCTGCACAGTTCCATAGGCTTCCTGGGGGATGGCAATGTGTGTGACCTGCTCCCGACCTCCGGCCCCAGCAGGGGCAGAATAGACAGGAATGGTCCAGGTCTCCCCTGTGGGACTGGTGATGGTGCCCGTAGCACTGTAAAGATGGGAGCTGTCCACTGTTAGGAGGTCTGGCCGCAGGGAGACATAACTCTGCTGCTGACCCTGTCCTTGTGGAATAGCCAAGACTGTCGCCACTTGCTGACCAGGTAGGGCATAAGACACCGTGATGGGCATGTCCACCTTCCGTTTCTTGGCAGGCTGGAGGACACCTGCGCCTTGGGATGTGCTTCCTGGAGCCCTCCTCTCGACGCTCTCCTGTTGCTGAGTGGGGGAGAGGGCCCCCACTGTTTGAATTTGGATCTGTTGTCCCCCGGCAACAGCCGCCACCAACTGGGCTTGGAGCTAACACAAAGAAATACATTTCATCTGCTGAATGCCAAGTGTAATTGCCAATGCCATGTCAGGGGCGTGTTTGTAAATGTTCATACTTGTTGTTGCTGCTCCTCAGTGAGATCCCCTGGCTGAATCAGCTGTGCTGTTGTCACACCTTGAAGCTGCTGATGGGATCCAGAGGGCACTTGGAGGACCTGACCCAGCATGTGACCTGGCTGCTGGCCAATCTGCACCTGATGCGGGGATAGCGTAATCACAGCAATATAACAACATTGAAAGTGACACAAGAAATAGAAAATTCACCAACCTGTATAATTTGTTGATCGTCATTCTGCTGCTGAGCTGTCGACTCTTGGATCTGCTGCTGCGGCTGAACTTGCACCTGAACCTGCACGAAAACCAGACATTTCAGTTTTGATGGCTCCAGCTCCCCTATCAGGTTCAAATCAATGCGTAGCCTTTAGTCTCACCGGACAAGCCAGTTCCAGAAGCGAGCCTGCTACTTCAGTGCTGTCTGTGTAAATGCAATTTGCCTCTTGCTGGTACACCATGGTTGTGGTGGTGGTTGTAACATCTTCACTTTGCTGGCTGAACTCCTGCAGTGCATCTGGACCCTTACTGGCCAGGGACTCTAGGAACTCCTTCATACGATGCTGAGGGATACTCCGAGCTTTCTGACGGACAAGCTCCTCATAGGAGCTCGTGCCATCCAGGGAATTATTCATGGTTGCCCACACTTTTTTATGAAAGAGAAGCTGTGGAAAGATTCAGAATAAAGACCATCTTTATTGGCCAAGTATGTTAACGATCTTTTTCCCAATATAAGCTCCAGTTTAAATCCACGTGAGTCATTGATAGTTTAGATCGATGAGGTGGCTAACGACCTAAATAGGAAATGGCTTAATGTTAACAAACATTAATGCCAGCATGATCAGAATCAGTTGAAGTGGCCAATCACACACAAGGCACTGGAGTCACTCTATCAACGTTGACAATATAACAAAATATACATTGAACACATACAACATCTTGGACATAGAAAGCCTGTATCAGAAAGGTTCCAGGATTGGATTTATTTCAAACCCAAACTAACAGTTTTCCCATTGAATGTGGGCCATAACATCATGGACACTGGGATATCCTGCGACACTTTTGTTCAGTACGTGAGCCAAGAGTGAGAGGACAACTCATGGCTGCTTTGCGTTGAGCATCCTTACCGATTCTGAATTTGAAAGTGACGGCCGTAAAGAGGAACAACAATGCTTACTTAGCAATGCCAAAACATCAAGACAAATCAAATTAGATTGGAATCTAGAACCTCAACTCGGACAAAATGTGACACTGTGATCATCAACTCAACTGCAGTTGCTGTCAGGTATGCAGCCTTGCTGTCTTGCGCCTTCTCACAAGATCGTAGGAGAACACGAAAGGGTTAATTCAGAGTGCCCGTAGTCGAGCTGGGGACAAAAGCGCGCTCACTTTCCAAATCCGGCACAGCAGCCACGGAAATAAACGTTAAATAGACCCGCAGTACTGAGCCGTTATTTCTCACTGCTTGATAGGTCACATTAGAGCTCTATGTAATATATTATTGCAACTGATTACACAACACGCCAGTTTAGCCATCCGTACGGCTAACTAGCCGCATGTTGTTTGCTTCACAGCCACATATGGCTTATATAGCGAGCGCAATCTTTCACAGTAGCAGCCCGTTTGCATCTGGCTCCTCGTACGGGGGACAGTCTGAAGGTAGCGCGACATCTAGATGTTTGTGACGATATGCTAATGAGTGTTTTTCTGTTAGCGGCCCCGCTAACAGGCAAAGGCTTGCAGACCCGATAGCATTAGCTACCTCTCTTCCTCAACGGTGCCGAGTCTCGGGCCGCCCACTTCTCTAGCCGCAAAACGGCGCCTCTTTTTCTTCAAGGAAGCAAATGTTTTCTGTGTTGTCTCCCTATGGCGGTTCGGCTTCTTCTTTTTTATAATTTGTTTAAAGCTGAAGGCAGATATTCCCCCTTTTTCTTGACTACTTATATTTCGCTGGGCGCCATTTTACAACAGCACCTCCAGACCAATGGGCACGCGAAGTGTAAACCTGACCTGCTCTCGCGGGATTACGAACGCATGTTCTCGCGGGAACTGGCGCCGAGCGAGCATTCATTAAAGACGCCACACGCTGACTTGGGCGGCACAAAGAAAAGGATAGATAGCGGTCTACCTTAAAAGCTTGACAAGCCAGATATTTGTTCTTAGTGGTTCACGGGCATCTCAAGGTTTTAAGGTCGTCTCATTGAGATGCTAGGACAATTAGAGTGGTTCTTGCCAAGCTCCGGGCAATGAAGGGTTCATTCCCAGTTCCACCAGTGCGGGGAAGTTTTTTGTCGCTTAATTTTTTTCAAAATGTATTTTATGAATGGCATTGCAACAACGCAAACAGAAAACGACACGACAAAAACAATTAAAACGGTCCAAGAGGAACATAGTGCCTGGGTAGCAGCAGCCGGTCTCCTAATTTTATACAAGTATCTTGTCAATTTCCTTTTTCCACTAATGTTCAGGTGTAGTTCTTGCAGTCTCCGTCTGTGGTTTTATTTTTCCATTTGAAATATTTCTTCAATTGATGGCCATCCTCTGTTTCTTTGCGTTTAGGTTTTGTGCTTTTGCTTGAGTGAAGTTCAGAGTTGCCTTGTGTATGAAATGTGCCATACAAATAAATATGCCTTGCCTTTGATGGAATGAATTCCTTAATCCAATTCCCTTTTTTGTTTTCTTTTTTTTCTTTTGTAGCAGCCATTTTACCCAAATATTCATCCCTCCAAAGAATAGTGATGTACTGTGATAAGCAATATCATCAAATTGTTTTTATTTTACTGAAGCAGTGGTTACCAAGAGTTACCATTTATGATTACTAAAGTAATGTATAATTTGAATAGTAAAATAATCCATTTTACATTCACATTTGCCCCTTTTTATTAGGGTTATCTCATATGCATGACCTGGCCCCTCTGTCCCAGTAGCTTATAGACCAACATTTCAGGTTCCATGGTTTTAATAGTTGTATACCTTTGTAATTTACAACAAATACAATTCAAAATTGTAGTGATATTTATAAATAAATTACAATACATCCAAACAGAACAATATAATCTTGGTAGCCAATATTTAATATTGCTCGAGAAGGACTCAGGCCAGGAGCCAGAGCATTAAGGTTCGAGTCCCGCTTCAAATGCCACAGAACATACCAAACCTCGCTCAAATCCCGTTGAATTGCTTCCACACGTCTTTTACTCCCGACAGTTCTCCTTGCATGGCTGCATGTGTGATGTGATCAGTTCTTTGTAATATACAGTAGTGTATTGAATTTCCCATTGATGGATTAGAGCAGTGGTTCTTAACCTGGGTTCGATCGAACCCCAGGGGTTCGGTGAATCGGTCTCAGGGGTTCGACGGAGCCTCTACCATGGAGGGTAAGACACACGCGACTCAACAGTCAATTAGTTATGACACGCCCACTTGGCCATCACTGGCTGCAGATGATCACATGACATTGCTTGTCTCATCATGCTGTGGGAAATTTAGTTCGCTTAGTCGTCAACGTATGACTGTCGTGATAGTACGTCGTGCAATTAACAAAAAAAAAAGACGTATACTTAGTTTTTTTCTGTTTTTAATAAATATCTTTAATTTGCAAAATTATATATATATATATATTTTTTTTTTTTTGGGGGGGGGGGGTGTTCGGTACCGCTAAGAAGGTTAAGAACCACTGGATTAGAGTGACTACAATCATTCAAATGGGATCTCATTAGGTTAATCAGTGTGTGATTCGTGAGTATATTTGTTCCTTTTTGAAAACCAGACACAAACTGCTATTTCGTAAGAAATTTTAATTTTCCCTGATACACGAGCGCACCCTCTGTGATAAAAAGATATGCTTTGCAATAACATGTATTTGACAGCATCACCTCTGTGTCATACAAAACAAGAGACAATATTGTTATGAAATTCAGGTACAGTATTAATGTATGCATTGCACAGTCAATCAATGAGGCAACAGTGAGCAATCAATTAGAAATGCTCATAATTTCATTATGACGTTGCAAAGTTTGATACTAAAGAAGTACTTCAGTCTCAAGTAAAATTATGGACATTGTAGACATTTCAAACAATAATTCAAATTCAAAAAATATTTTCCAATTTAGATGCATATGGAAGAATGCAGTTCCCATTTATGGTCTGATTTATGTCAATCTTAACCAAAGTAGTTGCTGGGGTTCTGCATGTATCTGTGGGCTCTTGGGAAGCAGGACACATAGCTTGATCGCATTTTGAGACTTAAATCTTTCCCGGATCCTCCTTGAGAGTAACTGTCCTGTTGAAGACCAGCTGCAACGACAAAGGAGCCAGTGAATACAAAACAGAAGCATATAAAAGGCAGCATGTGCTTACAGGAAAAAGAAATAACTATGTGGTTTCTATTGTGGCTATTAATGTAATCTATTTTCTAAGATTTAGCATCAAGCAGCTCTTTCAATGTACCTTGTCTGAAGTGCTGTCAGGGTCCAGGGAGAAGTAGCCAACTCTTTCAAACTGGAATTTGTCAAGAACCTTTGCTCCCTTGACAGAGGTATCAACGAAGGCACTGTTGACCACTTGCATCGAATTCTACATTTGGGGAAGGGAAAAGTTGTTTAAATAAACTATTACAATCCACAGCTGATGCAGGCATGTGAGGACCACTCACTGGGTTGATGTCACTCAGGAAACCGTCGGGCACCTCAGCTGGATCCTCCGGATGTTTGTGTATGAATCTACAAACATGTTCAGAGTAGAACATTAATATCCATTCTTTGGAATGCACATACATGCACAACATTCGTCCAGGCTCTGATCCTTTCTCATTTTACTTCTATGACTTATTTTTCCAGGCATTGTAATGTTTGCATACTCCTTTAGCTATTCATCTGTATTTTTGCGAATTCACCAGCTACTTTCCACTTCGATGTGGTTAGTCTGCTGGACTGTTGTCTTTACTACATGTTCTTGCTTTTCAATTCAGATGTCTGTATTCCTGATATACGGTACATTACAAACCAAGTAGTAGGTGCCTGTTTTCGCAAGTGCAGACAGAAATGGCAACAGTTGTACATCTACTACAATTCATTTTGTAGTCTTTGTACCATGCATGAATACTGCTATTTCCCCACAACATTTATACTAATACAACGAATACAATACATAATGCTGGTATGGTGTTCTTTAGGTGATGAGCAGTGTTGGCTTGCAATTAGGACCAAAAGGTTCAACTGTGTTCTTATCAGAATACAACAAAATCTCGCAAACAAACTTGGGAAAACGTGTCATGGACCGATGATTTTGCAGGTTATAGGTCACATGAATAGCGGCAAAAGTTTTGACATCATTTCTCCATATCACAAAAACCAAGCAATTGAACAGGGTTGTGCAAATGTCTTATATACACTGTGAGTGGTGTTATGAATGAATGACAACTTACAGTCTTTCATAGATGCGCACTTCACACACAAGTGGCTGGCTGACCCAGTGGATGAAGGCCTTCGGTTTCTCTGCTGTATCAGAGCTGCAGCAGCTCACCTGAAGTTCCACGACTTTACCCTGAGCGTCCTGCAACAGAGGATGCACGCAGGGTAGGAACAGGCGTTACCAATCGAAAAATGCTCATCTCAAAGTCAAACCTACTGTGTCGTACCTTGATGATCTTCTTCACAGAGATGACATACCCGGCATGCCTTAAGCCTACGGGTTGTTCTGGGGTCAGACGCTTGTAGCCTTTCTCCATCACCTCGAAAAAAAAAAATTTCACCATCATCTTCCATCCACAGAATAACTCAGGCATGGGTATTTTTGTGTGTGTCAAACCTCTCTGAAGTCACTTTGTTCAATGAAGATGGTGCTTTTAAATGGCACAGTGTGGCTGCCTTTGGCCTCATTAGCAGGGAAGTCTGGCACTCGTACTTCTGACTAAGAGAGGAGGGGATGAGTACTAATGATATAATCAAGACAGAATCAACAGTCCTCAGGCACAACACAAGGACAAAAGTATTGTGTCAACTGGCACATTTAATCCTGAAAAAGGAAAAAACATGGTACGCTCAAGCTTAGCCCCTGATCTGATTGATTACAGTATTTGAGTCTGAAACCTTTGACCATAGTAAGCATGTGAAACATACCTTTGAGTCCTCAGGAAGGTTTACTATGGTGATTTTAAGAGGTTCCAACACGGCCATGGCTCGTGGGGCTGTCTCATTGAGCACATCCCTGACACATGCTTCCAGAAGATGCGGCTCAGTTGTCGTCTGGGAAACTGTGACTCCCACCTAAAAAGGTGTCAGAAATTGAGGTATTTACGTGTGACTCTCTATCCAGTCCTCCATTCATCCTGCTTACACGAGCGCAGAAGTTGTTGATGGCCTCCGGTGGGAAGCCTCTCCTCCTCAGTGCGGTTAAAGTAAAGAGGCGAGGGTCGTCCCAGTCTCTGCAATTACACAGAATATATCATATCGAGTCTTCTTTCATGAAGATTTGACACTGTTGTGTCATGAATACTTTGAGATTATAATCGTCAGTATTGCACATACTGGTTGCTTTGTATGTCCACTTGTCCATTTATCTCTAGATATTTGTAGTTTAAATGAGCAATAATAACAGTTTGGATTTTGGGATCCAGCCAACCACTACAGATCTGACATAACTGCAAACATCACTAAGCATGCGTTTATTCAATTCGAATGTCAAAAGTATAATTTGACTAAAGGCATCTGCCAATGTAAAATTCTGATGCCACATGGGGCGTTCACTTTAATGTCATCTGATGTTAAAAATAAATAACAGAAAAAACGGTTAAACACATTTTTTCCATTTGCAATTTTACCTGACCACTCCTTTCTCCACCAATTTGATGATCTTCCTCTTGGACACCACAGTGTAGGTGAGGTTCAGGCGGCCATATTCCCATTGAACAGGGCAATACAAGTCCAGAGCATTACATAGCCAATAATATGATGATCGCCTGCCAAGAAAAACACAAGCAGAAGAGGGAAATTTTCATGCCAAATCAATAAGTAGGGTAATGATAGTAAAATGGAAAAAACAGTGATCAATGCCAACCTGGCCTGGAACTCTTTGGTGCAGAGCGAATGTGTGATATTTTCAATTGAGTCACACAGACAGTGGGTGTAGTCATAGGTAGGATAGATGCACCTGAAGACAAACATTCAGGAATTGGGGACAGTCATATTCATGGGAAATAAGAATGATGAAACGAACAGCGATTGAGACAGCTAGTCTACCATTCATCTCCAGTTCGATGATGTGGCGTGTACTTGATTCGGTATGCCACGGGATCCATTTTCCCATCCTCCATGACAGTCTTCATCCTGAGTGTAATCTCTCCCTCAGCAAACATCCCCTTTTTCATCCTCTCAAACAAAACCAGAGATTCTTCAATGGGACGGTCTCTCCATGGTGATGGAGGAGTATTGTGGCCTTTCAGTTCCTCCCCCTTCTGGTGGCATACATATGCATGACCCCTGTGGGAAGACAATTTCAAAAATGAATCCTAATTGTGCTTTTGCAAACACACACACACACACACACACACACACACACACACACACACACACACACACACACACACACTTGTGTTCACCTGCGAATCAGTTCAAGTGCAAGATCATAGAGTTGCTGGAAGTTGTCCGATGCATGCGTGACTGCATACGGCGTGTAGCCTGAGGAAAACCGTAACATTATTCAGATACTGATATTCTGCATGTAGAAAAATCCTTATCACCAACTCACCGAGCCACTCTACCATGTCTTTGATGGCTGTGAAGTATTTTTCTTCCTCTTTCTCTGGGTTTGTGTCGTCATATCTCAGGAAACAAATTCCATTGTTTGCCTGGAGAAAAGGGTACGTGTAAAAGGAAGCTGCATTGTTTGAAGGGAGATTAAAATGGAAGAAAGGACCTACCTTTGCATAACCAAAATTAAAGTTAATGGCTTTAGCGTGTCCAATGTGAAGGATACCGTTGGGCTCAGGAGGGAAACGGGTACGTATCTACAACAGTTGAGACGTCCGTCAAATTTGATTGGATTCTTTTAGTTTTATTTCTTTTCTACACCTGAGCTCACCTGTCCACCAAAGAGCTCCAAGTGCTTTTTGAGCAAGTTCATCGTGTTTGGTGTAACCACATAGCCCTCAGTTGTATAGTTCTCACCTGGATATTGGTTAAGAGGGACAGCACATTCATGCTTAGTATGGATGAAATTCACGGGAACTCATTTTGCGGTTGTTTCCTTTGTCACCTGGTTTGTGAAACTTCAGGGCCTCTCCCCTGAGCTGCTCCATGAGTGACTTTCCCTCCATGACTGTGGTCTCACCTAAACAATGCACATGATTAATTAAAATACATAAACAACAAACTTAACTGCAGACAGACAACCACTATTGTCCAATCCTGCACCTTACCATTAAGTGCCACCGCCTCTTTTTTCATCTTCACCTCATTCTCATTTTTATTTTTCTGGGTCTGCATTGTATTTAGAGAAACATTGTTATTGAAATGTCAAGAATTGCTTCACTTCAGCGAGACATATGTGAGATAACACTGTGTGAAGATCGAAGGAGTTGGTTGGTTTGTTTAACTCGAATACTGGAATGTGTGAAACACAGCAAGCCTAACTTAGCCCAAATGGTAACAATCTCAGTTGACAACTAATGTCCGAAAATAACATTTGTCATGTATGTTTGATCCACACTAACAGATTACTTGCTTGGTGAGAACAATTTCAGTAGGTTACCCTTTTGCTAAATACCTTAGATTTCTTCTCAAGGTCAGCCTCTGTCTTGGGGCCTAAGAGGTGCAGGACCTTTCGAACCAAAGTTGATTTACTTTAGATCGTCGGCTAAAGGCAATTCCATTTCATTCAAACATTCAAAATGACAGATCTATGCCATACTGTAATCCCAAATCACCGTTCTTCAGACTAACCTGCATGTCCATTTCATTTTTGAGAACTTTCCCATCAGCCCATTTAAGAGCGGAGCGCAGCTCTCCTGCAACAAACACCAGAACCACGAGTTTGGTCCCCCGATTGCACAACATCACTTGTTTCAGAAATATCTGCCCAGCGAGCAGAGTGATCGTACCCATTAGCAGGCCCATGTTGAAGTGGTACCTCTCCTTTTCAAGCTGTTCTTTGTGCTTCTTTATCACAGACTCCACCTGCACAACAACGTCCCATCACTGAGCGGTGTACAATAAAGCTTGAAAGTCGCACATGTGAGTATGTACTTACGGCATCTTCAATCTGCTCTGGTGTAATGACCACACCCACTCCACAGGCTTCATTAAACTCACTATGGTTGAGGGGGTCCTGAGGATGAGTCTTCACAAATTCCAAAGCAGCTGCAGATTCAGAAATGTTTCAGAATAGAAATAGCAATGTATTTTTATAGTGTGCAAGCACGTCATGGAGAACAACATAATACAAGAAGTCGAATTCTCTGTCAAATATCAATCTGGCCTGATATTGAAAGCAAATTATCAGTTTGGTTTAGGTAACGCTTAATCTAAATCACCCTGGTTTACAAGCGTGTGTGACTCATTTCTGAAGACAGGTAAAGACATAACATTAGACAAACATGGGCAGTTGGCTGGTGCCCCAAGTTGCCCCGAAACCTGCAGTAGCAATAGATATGAAGTGGGAGAGAGGCATGAGTGACACTTTTCATTAACACAGCTTTGTGAATACACTCCAAGCATTAAAGCAGTTGAAATGGTAAACTACATGAGATAAGATAATCTTTATTTGTCCCACACTGGGGAAATTTGCAGTCTACAGCAATATACAATGTTGATCAATGTTCTTATTAACTACAATAGCGTTGATATGATTCACTCATTAGATAATAAACCTCAGAAGGATTTTAAGGAGTTTATCGATGAACACTGTGTTTTGTGAAGATAAAATTTATGTCAGTGCAAGGTGGCACCATAGTTGTTTTTTTCCCCCATGTTTTATCTTATGTGTCCTGTTGTACTATTTTAAGTTAAATGTTCTGTAAAGTGGTTTGTTACAGCTGTCGCTGATGTGAAAGCGCTCTGTACAGAACGATGTGTAAAATGTGGATTTGCCTTGGGCCACAAAAATTACTATAGAGGCCCCTGCCTATGGGTGAGGTGTTGCAGAATGTCACAATACCAGCAAGTTGTTGCTCTGTGGTTATTTTGCACAGAGCTATGTTTTCTGCGAGGAATGCCAGACGTTTTGTGTCTTTGAGGCGAGAGGCCAGGTTGTACAACAATGTCCCTGCTGCTTTGTCCACTTCTGTTGCTCCACTGACACTGCGAGCCTAGAGAAATAATTGAAAGCAAACCAGAAATAATGAAGAACATCAACACAAATTGTAAACTTCGTTAACAACAACAACAAAAAAATACCAGCAACGTGCATCTAAACTAAAATATATTGACAGTTAAAAGTGAAAATGAAATCCTGCGACCCTAACTGCTGCAGCTGCAAGGCACTCAAATGAACAGAAATGTGTCCCTACCAATCGAGTAATTACATATTTTAAAGTTTGTAATAAAGCAACAAGTGTTAAGCGCGTGGCCGTCACAGCTGTCCCTACAATGAGTTCTACAAATAGATGGGGCGGGGGTCAAACCTGAACGATTGCGCTCTTCAAGGTGGCGCTCAATGCTGCATTTTTCAGCGTTTCTTTCACTTTCTGCTCACTAAGCCCGATGGAAATGAAAAGTGTCGATGTATCGTCCATTTTTCACTTTTCTCCGACAGATCCAGGAGAACACTGACACACCGCAGCTCCACAAGCTCGCTTCTTAAAGAGAGAAACTACTTCCTGTTCGCTGCAAAGGGGAGAGGCAAAGAACATATGAGCCAATTGAAAGTCGTGAATTTCAGCGATGTCAGCGAATCATGTAATGGTTTAATAGAAGCACCACCTACTATAAGGAATATAGCCAATCACAACGACGTGTCAAACTAGTGTCACGAACTACTACTAAATGAGAACTATTGCGTCAGAATGTCATTCCAGACATTTTTCTATTAATCATGAAAGTAGGACCACACACTTGTACTGATTTTAGATTCAATTTGAATATGAAACGGAACACCCGGTATATGTTGTCATATCACATTTTCTCCGTAAAGAGTGCGTGTGCGTGTGTGTGTGCGCGCGCGCGCGCTCGCGTGTGTCTCTCTCTCTCTCTCTCTCAGGCTATGATGCAACCTTTTTTGTTGTCCATGAAATAACACTGTCGCGAAAACAACTCTACAACTTTGTAATTTGGGCTTTTGTCCCAATCAGACTTTTTAAAATAAAATGATTGCTATTTGCTTCTCAGTCTTTTGAAATTATGAAACAACGCTTATAATTGCATGAAAACGCAATGTAACTTCAGATTGATTAGCATTGTTGACATTTCATAATCCATCATCGCTAATAAACACTAAAATGAACAATATTTATATATGGTTCCGATTTGGGTATTTTTGCCCACGAAACAACTTCGTGAAAGTCACCCCACATTATCCCTTTGAAAAATGGAAGTTGGCCGACTGTTTGGATCGCTGTATTCATAGTAATGGTGTGTTGACCAAACATCCAAACATTTTCTTTTTTGTTCTGTGTGCTTACTGCTCAAGCATTACTACTACTACTTAGTAGTAGTAGTAGTAGTAGTATTGTTAATCATAATAAGAATTTTCACACGGCTCTTGTTAGGATAAGCCGTTCAGATAATGGATCTATGGATGAAAAATTTCCAACTTTGACAGGGGTGCTTATCACTTCCGTTCTGACGTCATCTAAGTTCCGCCGTCAGACTGGCTGTAAACAAGGGCGACAAAGATGTAACTCGAGATTCTTTTCACCGTAGTAATATTTTAGATGCACCCATGCAAGCAAACTAATGCGTAAAGTTATGGCAACACATGCAGTTCTTTCATCAACAGCAAACGCGTGGAGGGCTTTGTCCTGTGAGAAGTCAGAGCTGCGATTGGATCTTACTCTTGCTTGTGGTCAGTCGTTCCGGTACGTCAGTTATCAGGCGTGAGCCACGGTGAACTCTGCAGTTTACACGGGGAAAGTATCACAGCACACCACTTAACAAAAATATTTCTGAAATATTGTCGACACAGGTTAATTGTGCACATTTTTCCATCTAGTGGAAGCGCTTTGAATTGTTCCGGCCTGTCAGCGTACGTTGCTATGTGTCGTTGCTGGCATAGTTTCACCAGCAACGACACATAATTTGTATTCCTTCAAGACAAGCAACCAGTCACACTCAAATTCAAACCAAGGATAAAGATAATGCGCATATTTTTTCCACAGCTGGAGGGAGACGGCAGTCGGCCACTGGACTGGAGTGATGGGAGGAAAAGTGTGGACTGTTACTCAGACAGAGGACACTTTGTGGTACTGCGTGTACAAACCCAATGACAGACAAGTGCACAGAGACGTCAAGGCAGGAAATGGTGGTGTTTCCCTCAATGAGAAAAACGAGTCACAGGTGAAATGTAAAGCAGCTGCGAAGGAGGAGGTAGCGACTGCAAACCTCCAGCATGACGAGGACGAAGCCATGTTGAGAGATTACTTCCAACTGAGTGTGAATTTGAGGCGTTTGTACAGAAAATGGGGAGCGGCGGACCCCCACTTCCAAAAAATTGCTGACATCTTCACTGGTCAGTATATGCTTGTATGATATAATTTATCAACAACTAATAACTCACATTGAAACACATTCCCATTTCCTTTCCACAGGTGTGCGAATGCTCCGTCAGGACCCCACTGAATGCCTCTTTTCCTTCATTTGCACCTCCAACAACCATATATCTCGTATCCAGGGCATGGTGGAGAGGTTGTGTGAGGCCCGGGGTGATCTGCTCTACCAGCTGGATCAAACCTCATACTACGACTTTCCTTCGCTGTCCGCATTAGCAGGTGCAGTGTGACGGGTTGTTATGCACTCATACTTTGCCCTTGTGTTGTGCCAGTGTACTAGTGTCAACTTCAAGGCCCAGGGGAGAGTTCTGTGGCACCACAGCATTTTTTTTCTGACCTACTAAAGCAAATGGTGTGTTTTCCCGGGTCAAAAGCACTTTAAACGTCATTAAATGCATTTTGTGAAAAATTAAGGCCTTAAATTGCATTAAAATACATTGAATGTACCGTAATGTCCATGAGTATTAATTAAATTAAAACACCATGGGTAGGCTGCCGATTAGCAGTTAGCACTGAGCTATAGACGACGGCTCCCAAAGAGTTCTGCATAGGCACTACTGGACCTCTTTGAGAACCAAGAGCTAAGTGTATGGCCAACTTCTCACGTGGAGTGACTCCAAATCACTTGCTCTTTAGATGTGGATCATATTTTATTCAGCAACTCTTGAAGATAGCTTGTGTAACACGATTGATGTTATTTCTGGCTTGTTTGGAAATGCCAGGTTTTGGTGAAAATTGTAAAGCTTTTCCTCCATTATTGTGAAGTTAATTTAAAAACATGTCTTAAATTTAATGTTAATGGGAGTCAGCACATACCTGCCATCCTCTTTAAAGTGCTTTTGATTCATCTGAAATACATGTCGGATGTTCTAGTTGTCTTTTCCTGAAAAATGTTTTCAAAGCCTGAAGGTTTTGTGAGACTGAGACTTTATGAATTTGAAAAGATTCTTTATTTTTAAAATATTAATTTATTTTTACTGATTGTAGGCCACATCGCTGGAGAAAAAGAGTTTTAAAATGATTTATCTTGGTGTCACTTTTTTATGTCACAAAAACTTTGAATATGGATATCTAACAATACTATTGTTACAGATATGTAGATTTTTGATATCCACTGTATGTGATGTCATGACTAACAATGTGCCTGTACTACACAGTGTTTTCAATATCGAAATGAACTTTTTGTACTTTGTAGACGACACTGTAGAGGCATGCCTTAGAGAACTCGGTTTTGGATACAGAGCTCGGTTCTTGCAACAGAGTGCAAAGCAGATTTTAGACAACCATGGTCACAAATGGCTTGAAGGTCTACGCAGTGTCCCGTATGTGGAGGCCCGTGATGCTTTGCGTGCCCTCCCTGGAGTGGGCACAAAGGTACAGCAGCTGAAATGACTAGCTGGTCTGGAGTGAACTTTGGAAAGGTAACTTGGCCTATGTCTGCTTCTTTAGGTAGCAGATTGCGTATGTCTGATGTCCCTGGATAAGGCAGACGCTGTGCCAATCGACACGCACGTGTGGCAAATTGCCAAGCGTGACTATAAATATGCTGCTGCCAACGAACCCAAAAGCATCACAGAAAAGCTTCACAAAGACATCGGTGTGTGTTCATATGTCTCACTGATCATATTTTGGAAGTATCCACATGGCTAAAGCTTGGTTACGCTTGTACACAGGTGATTTTTTCAGAAATCTGTGGGGTCCTTATGCCGGTTGGGCACAGTCAGTAAGTGCACGTGTTGTTGAACATCTCCATGCATTTTGTCCATTGTAACCACATAGCGTCTCTCCGTTGTTTAGGTATTGTTCTGTGCCGATCTCAAGAAATTCCAAAAGCTGAAAGAAACGCCACATTTAAAAAGGGCAAAGGAAGAGTCCGACAATGAAAGCACGTTAACAGGCAAGAGAGCAAATATTAAGACTGTTAAAAATGGTACTGTAAAAAACAGGAAACCCAAATCAGCATGTCAACAAAAAGGAACGGTGTCTCTGAAGGAGGAGCAGGTAGTATGACGTACTGTATTTTTCTACAATATACAGTTTGATACCGCAAGTGTGTGAAATAGTACTGTAGTTTGGGTGTATGATTCATGTAACCTCTGTTGTGTAAACTTTCCTTTGAATTTAAAAATTTAGCACCTGCTGAGTCTTTTTTTAATAAATCAAAAATAGCAAAATCTCAGTCCACAAACAGTTCTTTCTTGCTGAGAAAGCAGCAACTCCAGTAGATTCAGAAGTGGTCTCTAGATGGCAGTATGCACTGGTAGATATGGCATCCATCCATCCATCCATTATCCTCACTAGAGTGGCAGGCATGCTGAAGCCGTTTTTTTTTTTTTGGGCAGGAGGTGTGGTACACAGTGAACTGGTTGTCAGCCAATCACAGGGCACACATTGACAAACAACCTTTCCTGCTCACAGTCACACTTAAGGACATTTTCGACTCTTCCATTACCCTACCATGCATGTTTTTTAGAATGTGGAAGGAAATCTATGCAGGCACAGCGAGAACATAGCAAACGCCACACAGGAAGGCCGCGGCCGGAATCCGACCCTTGACCTATATACTGTGAGGCTAACCAGTCGACACCGTGCCACCTAACTTTTACTACAGGATGTTTCATCCATCTATTTTCAACGCAGTCTGTCATGACCAGGGTCGCGTGGCGGTCCTGGGGCCTATCCCAGCTGATTTCCGGTAGAAGGCAGACTATACCTTGAACTGGTCACCAGCCATTTGCAGGGCACATAGAGAGACTAACAACCATTCCCACCCACATCCACACTGTCACTGAGTGTGAACCCATCCCATGCTACCCGCACACAAGTCAGGAGAGTGTACCACTTTAACATCAGCGACCGGAAGATATTACCTTACACGTTAATGTCACGCATGGGTCATTTGCTTGTCTATTTTAAGCATTGAAGAGCAAGTAGCGTATTTTCACTGAGTGAGTGTATTCTGCCAGTATCCCTGCTATTAATACATCGTGGCTTTTGAGCTCATATCTAAAACAGGTCAAGGGTTGGTGGCCTGCATCTCAATTATGGGCTTTTCTATTGAGTTTAGTGCATGTAGTGTAGTGCAACAGTGTCCCGTGTTTATTAGCATTGGTTTAACTGTGTCAGCTGGCCTTTTTACAGCAGTGATTGTTGCTGTCTCTGTCACTGTTTTGGTCTTTGTGTAAAAAATACTGGCCTCTTTGCCACATTAACAATATTCAGTATATTCCATTTTCCCCTCGACTCAGGGAATTCAGTGCATCCCGAATACAGTTTTGCATATGTTACGTTTATGTGTGTATTGTACTACCGTGGTTGCTCTTTCTATGTTGAAGTGTGCACCCATGTGTATTTCATGAATATGTGAGTCAGCGTTCATGCGCACTCCATTTAAACTGAACATGAGCTGGGGGCCCTGCTTTAGGGTAGAGTCAGGCAAGAGAAGAACAGCACAGTGAAAATTGATTCAAAAGAGCAGCATAAATGAAACAAAAAGGGAGGGTTTGGTGGAGGTATTATACGCTGAGGCTGTGCACATGAATTTGAAAGGAAAGGCCACGTGCTACAACTTACACACAACACTGTGTTATATAAGTGATGGGGCTCAGCTTATGTTTTGTCCTTGGTTGTGCTCACGTGCTTTGTTTTACTGTGCTGAATTCATTTAAACACCAAGGGATGTAACAATTTGTCATGCTCAAATAAAGTAAAAGTCACACAGCACCGGTGTGTGTATTATGCTTCGTGAAACTGCCTATTCTTTTTCTGTATTCCTGATGATGAGTTACTTTTCACTGTAACGCTTTTTCTAGTTGACTACCATGAAGTATCCGCGAGCACGCAAGCTACTAGCGACAGGAGTGGCTAGCAGGTATCTGCTCGTCTCCAGGCTAGCAATACAACACCGGCGTCAACAACCATCCAGGGTGGATTGACACCGAACAACCGAACTCCCAGTGGGCCCTCACTATTACATCTGTTCAATAACCTGTCCAACGCTGCCAGGGAACTCGCGCTAACAGACACCGCCACACCCATCGCGAACAGCACTCGGACACTGAACTGCAGCTACAGCTAGTACAACCTTTTTTTCACTTCACTAGAGTGGTGGTATATCCAAAGATTGTCACTCAAATTTTGTCTCGAAACACAAAGCAGAAAATAGATGATGCAACAGCTTGTAAGTAAAAAAATCTCATAGGAAGAAAAAAAAATTGATGATTGCAACTTTTGTGGCGATTTTTTTCAAATTCAACCACTATTGTAATCATTAATGGCGGCACGGTCGTCAACTGGTTAGCACATCCGCCTCACAGTGCAGGGTTCAATTCCGGCTGCGGCCTTCCTGTGTGGAGTTTGCATGTTCCCCCTGTGCCTGCGTGGGTTTTCTCCAAGTACTCCGATTTCCTCCCACATTCCAAAAGCATGCAAGGCTGGTTAATGGAACACTTTCAATTGTCCCGAGGAGTGAGTGTGCGTGTGAATGGTTGTTGTTCGTCTATGTGTGCCCAGCGATTGGCTGGCAACCAGTTCAAGGTGTACCCCACCTACTGCCCATAGACAGCTGGGATAGGCTTCAGCACGCCCGGGTAAGCGGATTAGAAAATGCATAGACGTAATAATTAAAATTTCCAAAAGAAACTATATTGTAATTACTCATTTTTTCCTCAGCATTACAACAGATTACTGTTGCATACATTTTGTATTTGGTTTGCGTAATATCATTACATGTATTTCACTACTCCCCACCATTAATGTAATGTAAGCAATGAAATGACAATTATTTTGCAAAGAGAGATGAAGCCTACGCTGGGTTTTTACACTGGTGAGATCTCCCAAAGTGTTCAAAGCACACTTTCTTAAACAATGAATGTTATTTCTGCTGAATAGTAACAGATGTATTACAGTATGTGTGATGCATTGCCTAAGATGGATAAAATAGTGAGACGTGTTGACTCACCATAGATGTGGTCAAAGCGGTGCCACCCTGTGCAGTTGGAGCCAGTACTCATATGGAAGTCTGTTTTCTGGGGGCCCACATGATTAATTTTTGCCGTCTGCACACCCACAGAAAGAAAGAGTTGAGTTGATGAATTGATGTTGGCGTGGGAATATTTCAGCTGTTATTGGTAAAATGAGGCCTCGTTTTATTTCACAGCCATGAATACTTTCGTGCAACGGGCTCTGACTTTGGCTGTCAAGTGACGAAGGCCCCAGTGCCTTGTATGGTTTAAGTAAGATCCAGTTCCAGTGTTTAAGTTCCCATCCCATCCCATATACAATTCAAAATGACAGTTATATTACCCTAAACTACAACGTGAGTAGGCCTAATGTAAGTTTGTGACTTTGGAATGATATGCCGCACAAACATAGTATGTATATAATATTAACATTTGGAGTGAATTTATTTTTGTGGGAAAAAAAATGATTTCTTGCACTTAATGTTGGGTTGTTTTTTTTTTTTTTTTTCTCAGCAGTTTTGTACCATCCTTGACTGCATATTTTCCTTTTGCATTGGGAAAACTGTGGTTATTTTGTTGTTTGATTCAAACGCTTCTTTGTAGGTAAGGAAAGTTGATCTTTTCAACATGCATTGAAAAATGTCTTGTTAAAAATGAAATCTTTTTAAGAGCACATATTTTGCACATATACATTCATTTTATCCATATTTAAAATAGCATTTTGTCATCCATCTATCTGATCAGGATGTAGATGGTCCTATGTGGGGGCCCCCCCCAGCAACGCTGATGAAAAATTGTGGCCCCCTCCAGCATTTAAGTTGCCCATCCCTGTACAAGAAGGTGCCTGCGCTAAAGGAAGCGCTTAACATGTGAAAGATGAAACCGTCTCATGTGAACAACTTACCTCACAATATGAATGACACTTTTAATGAGTTCTTTCTGTCACTTTCTCTCCCCGTTTCTCTTTCTCACTACCTCCCTCTGTTTCTCTCTTATTTTTAACCTGTCCTGTTCGACTGCTCAATCATGCAGTGTGCTAGATCTGTATGCCTTTTAATGCCAGAACATTTTTGCTGTTCGACAAGGGAGGTTGACATACCTGTATATCCCTTCTGTGATTTTGTTGTGATTAGAAATGCAGTCGAACAGAACAATTTTTGAAAGTGGGTGGACAGAGAGAAGACAAAACCGCGAAAACAATCACTGTATAAATCTGACAAAACTGATGTTTCAGACAAGTTAGCTTCTCTATCTAGTATAAAGTACGATAAAATAATCCCTTAATGAATTTTTATTTTTTTCACAAAACAGAAGAGCTGTCGCTTCCCATGTCTAGAACCCGCTTGGCGTTTCCTACTGCCTCAGTTACCATGTAATGGCATTATGGCAATCCTGTGTCGTGCGCGGGTTATTTTAGGATTACACTGCAGACTGGACGGACACATAGCAACAATGATGTCTGCCTGCTTCATGCATGTACGAGTACTGCATCAGACCACAACAAACAACAACCACAATAATGATTATATTGTGGTGGGATGTAATGAAGTACAAATACTTTGCGACTGTATCTGTATTTTTCTAATCATTTTTTTTTACTTTCATTCTGCACACTTAAAAACAGATACCTGTTCTCCTTAGTTCATCAAGAAGACATAAGTAGAGAGAGATAAAGGTAACCAAGGTTGCGATCGTCATTGATTGCTGGTTCATTGAATAAAAAATAATCACTTTACCTTTCTTAAACTATAACTTATATAATAATTAAATATATATGAATATGTGTGTGTGAGAATGAAGAGGTTCATTTTTATTTTATTTTTAAAAATATTGATGAATGAAGGGGAAAAAAAGGGCATGGGCAAGTGCTTGTGCACCACCTAGTTCCCATGTGTGCATGTGCCTGTTGTGTGAAACTTTGCCACCTCTGTCAATTAAAAGTAAAATTAACGAAGAAATTTTGACGCATATGATTTACAGCCCTTGTACGTCATTATATTGTGCAAGTAGTCACCACTTGCACAATATGTGGCTCCTGAGTGTGTACTGTCGTATACAGTCTTTGTCATTATATGTGTGTTTGTTCCCACAGCGACAGCAGCATGTCCCAGCAGGAGTGTTATTGCTCCCCAGAAGCCGAGCAGGTGGGGGCTAAAAAGCAGGCATAGGGCCAAGGTGCAGCATGATGATGCAGTAAGATGGAGGTCAGCTCATATTCTCCCTTGTCCTCTGCTGATGCATACGTACGGTTTCAGCTATCTCTTCCCCTGCAAACGCATACAGCATTTATACGCGCTGTTGGAGTCACTAGTGCTGCGGGATGATGTCTGTATAGTACAATGTGGTACCTTGACGTATGAATTTCCCAAGAGATAGATTTTCATGTTATTAGTCATCACGTTATCAGTTTTTTTGCTTCATGCTCCAAGCAAGCTTCAGAGTCATTGCTGCTAGAATTCAGTGGGGGAAAAAAAAGCACCCAGCGTTGAATTTTGTGACTGAACGCTATTTGCGGTAGTGGGATAGCTTGCAGTTTGGTGCCAGTAGCTACTTAAGTGTGGAGACTTGTAGAACAGATGTATGGCAAGTATCCACAGGGAGTTTGATGGCTTGGTGTCGCTTGACCTTGGATGGTTGTTTACACGGATGTTGTGATGCTAGCCTGGAGAGGAGCGTGTAGCAGGCATTCTAAAGAAGCCATCCAAGAAGGTGGGAGTTTTTGACTGATAAGTTCTAATCACACTGGGAGGCACAAAGTAACCACTAAAATTCAGCTTCAATCAGGACAAATAGCGTAACACACGGTACAGTGTGGTTGGTGGACATTTTCCCAACATATAATAATTACACTTTATAAAACCAGTTTCTTTCTTTGCATTATTTACATATGTGTTAGTCTGTATTTATCTCTATGCCAGTTATTCTCAAATTGTGGTCTAGGTGCGCGTACATGTACACTTGTAACATGCAATAAGTTGAAATGGAATAAAATTTTAGGACAGATTTTTTTTTAATTTGCAATGTGCATGTTGGAACTGTACATAATGTTACAGTGGCTCTTTTTTTACAGCAAGCACAGTACTTTAAAAAATGAAACTTATTGTAACGTATTGTACTTTTGTGTGTGTGTGTGTGTGTGTGTGTGTGTGTGTGTGTGTGTGTGTGTGTGTGTGGTAGCCTACATTGACGCATTAAGTATAGTATTTTTCCCCCTCTGTGTTTAAATGCAGTGTTAATATTCTAACTGTGAGCATGACCTCCATCTCTTTTTTTAAAATAAACTACTGCACGACTGACTGTATTTTATTGTTGGTAATGATGGTGGTACTTGCAGAGAAAAAACAGTCACTGTTATATACAATGCAGGTTTTTTTTAATTAAAACGCAACAAAATACGTATGTGATTTTGGGACTCTGGAGCGGATTGATGGCTTTAGATTTAGAACCATGCACAGTACTGTACTACTCTACACAACACGATGCTTTCATTAAACGTAACCAAAAGCTTTGGGGTCCGGAACCGATTGATAGCATCTCACTTCATTTCATTAGGAAACAGTGATTTGATTAATGAGTTTCGAGAGTGGTCACGGAACGAATTAAATTCGTAAATCAAGGTATCACTGAATGTGTGTCGTCACGGTCCACTTTGCCAGCTTACGGCGTGCGTGCGTGGTTAGTGCGGTTGCGTAATGTGTAGGCTGCGTGTTGCTGTTGCGTTCTCCGGCTGGGTTGTTGGGGCACAAGAAAGGACAGTTGGACGTGAAGAGAGATGCGGCGGTCAGTCGGCGGGAGGGGGGCGTCACCCTCTCTCTCCAGTCCTCCTCGCGAGCTCACTGTCGAGCCGGTTGCTTGCAGCAGCGCAGACCCGAGCGTGAATTCACTTTCCTCTTCGTCTTCATCCAATAATCATCGGTGGGCTATGGACACTTGTCCCGCAGCTAGCGCATCCTAACCGGTGTCGTGGCGCAGAGTAGCAACCAGCAGGTACGTCCAATATTTTTCGTGGAGACTCTGCGGTACGGCGTCACTCTTGCGCAGTCATACAATGTAACGTGAACGAGCGTCGTGGCCATAATAGTAGGCTAGTTAAGGATACTGCAGGTCATTTCCATTTCTCACGACAGCACCCACTGTAATATTTTATAACACTTGTTACTCTGAGTAATTTCCTATTTCTAATGGAAAACATTGCAGAGTGTGAGTGAGTGGCGGTGGAAGAAGTAGGGGCCTCCATGAATTGTAATGTTGAGATAACATTTTAGTGGAAACAAATGAAATTATTATTTTTTCGTAAGATATTGAATACAGATTATTATTATTATTAGGGGTGTGCAGTGGACCAAATTTTCTTAATGGGTAATGGGGGAAATTGTTTTAATTAGTCATTCTTTTTTTTTTAAATACAGTGGAACAATAAGAGTCTAGTTTTTGTGTCATTTTACTATATATATATATATATATATATATATATATATATATATATAAAATGCATTTTCCTCATTGAAATTGATCAAAATTCATCTGTTCCAGCCCCCAAACAAAATAATAAAGTAATGCATCCGTTTTATATACTGCAATACTTCCTCATCATGATTTAAAAAGAAAAATGAAATATTATTTTAGTTATATTTAAAGGGGAAGTGAAGTTTGAAATTTTCTTTACAGTAACATGTTCTATGCGGTGCCACTAGTATAAACACAGTATTTTGAATATTTGATTATTGTGTTTGTGGAATATGAACTCAGCAGCAACATCCGCCCATTTTTATCCATCTCAGGGGGCAGTCAATTGCTGTTGACTGAAAATGACCTCACAGTTGCTCAGGGCTCAGGTAACGGCCTATCATGGCTCAGCTTGCAAATGTCACATGACCAAACTCAGCAAACAGGTGTAATGGGGAACATAGAACATTTACTTGTCAAGAAAATTTTGGACTTGACTTCCCCTTTAGAATCAGTTTTTAATACGAGATAGACAGACCGTTTCTTTTAAACAGGTGATGAACATTTAGGTTGGAACTTTCAAAGAAACTAATTCCCCTGGCATCCAATGGGCAGAAATATATTATTTCCGCCCATTGGATGCCAGGGGAATTAGTGCTGTGCTGCCGTCCATCTTTTCTGCACATTGGATAAGATGGACGGCATTACAATGACGACCGGTTAGTGCGCCTGCCTCACAGTACAGAGGTCCAGAATTTGAATCTGAGCTCCGGCCTTCTTGTGTGGAGTTTGCATGTTCTTTCCGTGCCTGTGTGGGTTTTCTCCGGGTACTCTGGTTTCCTCCCACATTCCAAAAACACGAATGGTAGGTTAAGTGGACACTCTTAATTGCCCCTAGTTGTGATTGTGAGCATGAATGGTTGTTGTTCGTCTATGTGTGCCCTGCGATTGGCTGGAAACCAGTTCAGGGTGTCCCCCGCCTACTGCTGAAGACAGCTGGGATCGGCTCCAGCACGCCCACGATTCAAGTGAAGATAAGCGGTTTGGATAATGGATGGATGGATGGATAATATGGACTTATTGTACAAGCCATTTTTTGTTTGTGGAGCGCCATGATTACAATGGACCTTGCAGTAAATTTTTGCTCATTCAGTTCTATTCTGCTGTATCAGTTTGAGAAGGGTGTTGGTTTGCAACTTAGTCATGCTTGGGCTTGTTGAAATCATATCAGCAGAATATTGGGAAGTGAAACAGCACAGACCACATGCTGCTAAGAGACTTTGTATGAGTTCATTCTGAAATCCCAGAAAACATGAAAATAGACCATAGGTAGATATTGTCAAGCATTTGTATGTACCGGTACTTGTAAAGCAAGGATTATAAAGACTCTATTAGTTCAGAGTATAATGAGGTTTCCGGGTTTGTTTCCATGGTCACAACTCCACTAATTATCTTTTGTAAGATCACCTTCTTGGGTTTCATTAGACTGAAGCAGGAACCAAATTATCCTAAACAATAACCCAGCAAATTGAAACAGCGTTAGAGCACAGAGAGTGGAAATAGCCATTACACTTAAACTAGCAACAAGTTCAGTGGTGTTTCTGCAATTGTTTCACACTAGCAGGTGTACAGCATGTGTTTGTGTGCGGTTGCAACACATGGGTTAGGAAAATTTGAATACATCACACAGGGAGAGGAAACTGGGCCAATGTGCTACTGGACGTCGAGCAGAAGCCGCCAGATGAACTCCATTCAGAAGAAAAACAACACACCCCGATCCATTGGCCGGACAAAACGGCTTCATCTTTCCTCCAACACAGTTCAACAAAGATTTACAGCTTGTTCTACAGTCCTTCTCATGGACAAGTTGGCTTTTGCGTAAAGGCTTTAAGAAGACAGAAGAGAAGCCATGCCTTTGTATTGAGTTGCATGTGTTTTTACTACAATAATGGCTTACCTTGAGGCTTTTAACCAAGCGGTGTAGTTCAATACTTTCTCGCAGACTCCAGCAGACTGTCTTGCCAGAACTCACATCCGTAAGATGTCACAACTGAGAAATAAAACATTACTCACATTCTGTATACCAAAAAAGTACAAGCCCCCTTTGCATTAAACACAATTGTGGGCTTTTAACAGCTTCGTACCATAAGCATGAAATATTCATGTAGATGCATCACAAATCTTTCAATGGCAAGTGTTTGCCATGCAACACTTCATTTATCACCTTTTATGGCATCAAGCTACAACAGAGTGAGACATTTGCTTCATTCTCTGTTGCAGGCCAACATTTGAGGACTTGTGATGTGCATAGTGTCTTTTGCCGCGGGGTGTTTGGTGGTTACACATGATTTAGCACCTGTCTCGCACGGCCACTTGTGGTGTGTCACTGGGAATGTGGGGCCACTATTTGGACACCTGAACATACTCATTCTTTTTGCATATGTGGAATGTCTGGCTTTGGGAACAAGTTGGGTAGCTTTATATCCGAAACATATCAGAAAAGGCAAAACTGTTCATCAGCTTTCCTTAGTTAGCTGAATGTTACTGTCAAACCTGGGACCTTGGCTAGCATACAAACCCAATTCCAATGAAGTTGGGGCGTTGTCTTAAACATAAATTTAAAAAAAGCATACAATGATTTGTAAATCATATTTAAACTGTATTTAATTGAATACCCTACAAAGACAAGATATTTAATGTTCAAACTGATAAACTATTGTTTTTAATTAAATAATCATTAAGTTTAAATTTTATGGCTGCAAAGCATTCCAAATAAGCTGGGACCAGGACATGTTTACCACTGTTCCATCGCCTCTTCTTTTAACATCATTCAATAAACGTTTGGGAACTGACGGCAGTAAGTGTTGACGCTTTGTAGGTAGAATTCTTTCCCATTGCTGCTTGATGAACGACTTCAGCTGTTCAACAGTCCGGCTTCTCCATTGTCATATTTTATGTGTCATAATGTGGCACACATTTTCAATGGACCGCAGGCAGGCCAGTCTAGGACACACACTCTTTAACTACAAAGGTTCACTCTTGTAACATGTGTTGAATGTAGTTTGGCATTTTTTCGCTGAAATAAGTGGGGGCGTCCATGAAAATGACGCCACTTGGATGGCAGCATATTGTATGTTTCTCCAAAACCTCTATGTACCTTTCCGAATGAAGAGTGCTTTCTGAGATGTGTAGGTTACCCATGCCATTGGCACAAACACAGATCCATACTATCACAGATGCCAGTTTTTGAACTTTAGATGATAAAATCCCTAAATTCCTTGCAATTATACGTTAAGGAACACTGTCCTAAAACTGTTTGACTATTTTCTCATGCATTTGTTCACAAAGAGGTGTACCTCGCCCCATCTTTGCTTGTGAATGACTGAGCAATTCGGGGAGGCTCCTTTTATACCCAATCATGGCACCCACCTATTCCCACTTACCCTGTTCACTTGGGCAATTACACTTGTAAACCGAGGTTCCACTGTACGATTGCTTTGAGTCATAAGCATTTTCACGGAATAAATTCAACTCATGCCTCAAAGCATTGCTGTATTTGCATTGGGGTTTACTTGTACTTTACTGCCATTGCATTTTACCTCAGCCAGAGCTTGCTTAATTAGTTCTTTGGCCACGATAGAGAGGAGCACTTTAATGTGCGTTGATAACCATTTTGTACAGTCTTTAACAGCCCCTTTTGCCCCCCCCCCCCTATCCCCCTGCTCATGATGGCTACGCACCTAGATGACAATGATATTTTCTGGAAAATCCTTCTGTGGCCACCAGCATGAGTTAATATTTGTAGGCTGTGCAGTGTGTTTGTGTTTGTGTGAGTGTGTGTTTGGGGGAAAATCCGAGGGTCCTCGAAATACCCCACCCTCCACAACCTTCGGCCTTTGATCAGAGGGCGCAACATCAGTCAAAGATGTGGTTGGTCTCAGCACTTTTAAGCTGTACATCCGTTTGGGATGGTGATCAAAAGCAACCGCAATTGGTTTTGTATGGAGTCTCCTCTTTTCTTACGGCGCGACCTCGCCGGCTGGGAGGTTGGGAGGTTGCAGATTCTGTACCGCCTCCAGGCGCGAGAGAGGCATCTTTAACCGGTTTTGGAGTGTCTTAAAAGCTCAGCAGGCAGCTTTGGGGATAGTTGGCTCTCAGCACTGCAGTAGAATGATTCATACTTTTGTTTATTTTCCGAGGTTTTAAGCAGCGTAACATAAACTGAATTATTAGCTGTGTTTAGATGAGCAAATCTGTCAAATAAATAGGAGAAGCAGGAGAATATTATGGAGGCAATCCACATGTATTCCAAGGTGTGGAATTTTTAACGGTTATACCCGCAACCTCCCCCCACTCTCCCACATACCAAGATAACCGCATATACTCTCCCTCCCATTTCCCCATTTCACGCTGTGCATACGCTGCTTCACAGCCTCATGTGTCCCCCTACAGTACATGAGGCAATGCAAACATGCCATACAGTAAATTGCTGTGGAGAGTGGACATTCCAGCAATAACAGAAAAGTTTAACACTGCTTATT